AAATTGATATTTTTGTATGCGTCATTAGTGTTATGAACCAAAATTACCGAATACTTTCTGACACGTCAATCTTTAAAATTTTTGAGAATGCATGAGATATGATGTTGTCTTTTCTACCTATATAAAGATTTTCAATGGTCTCCTTGTGTTGACGGTTCTTGTAACCTCTGTAAGTTTTAATATCAGTGCTTTTGTTAATTGATAAATATTTGTTGGCGTTGGCAACTACCTAGGATTAAAATCATTATCATTAATTCTAAGAAATTCAATAAAATAATTTGTAGTTTTATGCTAATTTTTAACTTAAATTCTAAAATTTTGCCCTTTTTTAGATATAGAATGACTTTTATAGGTCTGCAATTTAGAGAATTCTTATCTGGAATAAAATATAAGGAATAAGGCTTAGAGTCAAAATTAGAGCAATTTCACATAACACCATATATTTTTGCCCATTTTAAGATAAACCTTCAGAACTTTAAAAATATCAGTCAGTTGCCCCCCTTCACTCTTGGGCGATTCACAAAGATCAAAATGTTTGCCCTTTTTCCCTCCCTTTCAGTAGTATAGCCCCTTATTTTTTTCAATAAATACCCACCTAACTTCCAACAATTATTTTCACAAAAGCCTCTAAACAATTATAATATGAAAAGTGTATAACACCTAACTTCCAACAATTATTTTCACAAAAGCCTCTAAACAATTATAATATGAAAAGTGTATAATACACAATCAATTATGACAACACTATGTAAAAAGCCTCTAAACAATTATAATATGAAAAGTGTATAATACACAATCAATTATGACAACACTATGTATTTCAGTCCACATGAAACTAATTTGAGGAACTGCTTGTTACCCATTGAAGAGTATACATACACAAAGTCAATCAAAACAGAATTATCTCACTACAACAAATGTACATTAACACCACAAAATGTTCAAACAGTAACACTCCCACAAGAACTCAAAATCCATAATGTTTCCATCCTCTTACTACTATGCCCTCCTCTCCCTAGAATCTTTGCCTCCACCAGGTTAGGCACCTCCGATGACATTCACTCCCTTCAAAGAACTCACACATATATACTAAAACAAACGGTGTCACAAAAACTTCTCTCTTGCGGTAGGATATAGATATAAGAGATTATTATCAAAAAAACTTGGAATTTCTTACTCATTAACAAAATATCGTGATCAGTTCATTCAGACTCAAGGGAGTTAGTGGGATAAATATACTACTAATTTCTTGGTATGAAAACTAAGACTTACCATAGATTTGTAAGCAAATTGATAACCCTCCTCCTCCTCCTCTTCAAAATCTTCAATATAAACAACTCTCTTATATGACCTATGCATCCAATCTTGAAATTAAGTTTTAACAATTTTCACAAGAATCTCCAGGGGTTTATAATAGTCTCAAAAGTGCCAATTGAATTAATGCACATGTGGTGTAGAGCTTGGCGTTATTTCTATACATCAAATGCATTGACTATTGAATGATATTAATTGGACTTAAGTACTTTATTGGACGTGGGGGAAGGTTTAGTTGGAGTAAGTTGAGTAAAAACTATATAATAATATTTAGGTGACAAAAAAGTAAGATAAATGTACATCCTTCAAAGATAATTAATGTACATCTTATAATAACTATAATATATAGTTTACTAATATATAGATAAAAAGTTTCTTAATATATAAATATTGAAGTCTAGTAAAAAAAATGTAATTATTAACAGTTTTACTATAGTTTATAAAATATATCTAACTATAGTAAATAATATAGTTATAATATTATAGTCTTAAATCATTTAACTATAATTAATGTGATATGATTTAATAAGATTGGGGGTTATGAGAAGAATTTGAAAGTTATATTTAGTGTTAGGAGTTAGTGGATGAATGTTATGAGTGTGTGGTTAAAGGAAATTTTGATGGTCATAAAGATGGTGGTTATAAAAAATTGAGTATGAATGTGTCATCATGTGTGTATGAATGGATGGATGTGTAGTCAATGGTGACATTATGAAAAATTAAGTATTTTTGTGTCTCATGTATGCATGGATTGATGTGTTGGAGGGCATATTAGGGAGAAATGTTTTAACATAGCAATATGCATGGATTGATGTGTTGGAGGGCATATTAGGGAGAAATGTTTTAACATAGCAACCCACTTTTATAATAGTATTAGATTAAGTGTTGGAGGGCATATTAGGGAGAAATGTTTTAACATAGCAACCCACTTTTATAATAGTATTAGATTAATTAAGTTTTATTATTACACATGTTGTTTGGGTATCTTTAATATAATTGTTATATTATCCTTAGAAATTATTTTGTTAGATCATGCACTGTGATTATCACTTGCTTAAAAATATGATCTAATTCAATGGTTTCTTAAATTTGTGCTTAACCTATAACTAGTAAAGAATAACTTTGTTATAACAGATTATTATGCATGACAACGACATATGAAATGTGATGGTTGATCTCAGCTATCGGGAATAAAGATTCCCCGGGTGTATGTTATAAACGCATATTTGATATGTATAGCACAAGACCTTATTTGGATTCTCTAGGACGAGTCACCTAAGAGATAGAGAATTCGAATTGTTATGTGTTCCTTAGACTTGATGATATTATCATTTTCGATTTGATAATTTAGTATACTTTGATATAATGGTTAAGCTTGTTTTACAAGTGTTATACAAACTAAAATATTGGGTTATTAGATTTCATTTACAAAAATAATGGATATCTAGATAGGATCCAGTATACTCATTTTTATGAGTTAATTTATAATGCATATTCCATGAAGATATTAAATTTTCGTCGACGGGTGATTTTTGAAAATTATTTTTCTAAATTTATTTTCTTATAAAATAAAATATTTTGATGTTTTAAAATAATTTTTATTTATGTTCATGGGATTGCAATTTTAGGAATGAGCAAATAGGTGATTTGTCCTGCTCAATAAAGTTACCTAAAATAAATTGATACTGGAGGGAACTAAATGTAAGATAATATTATTCACGAATATTTAATCCCATATTATGGAGGAGCTTTTATGAACAGTTGGTCGGATAGGGATTTGATTGTTCAATTAAAAGTATTAATTTGATTAATAATTTGTTCTCGATATGGGACCCAATTGGTCTCATTAATGTTATTAGAAGAGGTTTACATGCAATACAATTCTATTTTTAAATGTTATGGAAAAAATATCCTATCTTTAAATGTTATGGATAGAGTTTTAAACAATTAAGAAATGTTTTGAAATTAAAATCTATAAGGCATGTCTAATCCTATATATAGGATTCATATGTAGCCTTATGCAAAAGTAAGGGGAGGATAATGATGAGATCTTGGCCTTTGATTGATAAATCAAAGGCTAAGATCTCCTTATTAGGAGATATTAGGAACACTATTTATTAGGAGAGGATCCCAATTTACACGGTAAGACATATAAAACTGACAAATGACCCCAAAATTTTACACGCTTTCCCTTGTTTTCCTCCACAAAAAATGCAACCAAACGCGCCCTTACCAAGAAGAGTAAGCTATAAACCACAATATCAACCAAGCGGTGTAAAGGGCGAGGGTTGTGCGTGGACCCCCCACCTACCGACAAATTCCCTCCCCTTTCATCGGAAAAAATGGCAACCAAACAGCCTCTACAGTGAAATAAATTTGTTTGTGGGGATCTGGCGTGTTGGAGGGGAGTTTTAGTACTGTCGTATATTTTACTGATATTTTTGGATTATTATTAGATTTCTTTGATCTCGATGTTTTGTGTTTATGATTAGTTTCACGTGACTCGTGTAAATACAAAAAACCCAGCGAATCAGAATATTTGTAGGGGTTCAATACAAGCATCTTATATGATATTCTAAATATACTTTTGTCCATTTATTTGTTTATTTATTTTTACTTCGAATCATGATGAAATTAGCTTGTGGTAAGACCCCCTTTTTTTTGCCATAATAATTCGAAATTTCCTGCACCAACGCATCTCTACCTAGGAATTTGAAAATCTTCAGTTCAAATTACTATTTCGATACTACCGACAACAAAGCTTTATCTCAAACTTTGACATTCACATCATGTACATTCTCTCTCATTCAGCTAAGGGTTGTTTGGTTCGCTGAGAAATTAAGAAAAGCAGATCATAGAACACCCATGTGAGGGTGTCATACTGCCCAAAATAACTCATTTCTTCTGTTTGGCTGAGGGAGGAAAAAAAAGAGAACGTACATGTGAGACCCACCCATCAGAGATGTGATATTCGCTATGTGCCCCAAAATAAAGAAAACCCATTTTTAGCCAAAAAAATTTAAAACTAAGCTTGAATATAGAGAAATGGGCCCCACAGCCTATTTTTCGGTTTCTCGAAAATGAACCAAACAAGTCCTAAAACTCATTTTCTCTGTTAGATTAATGCACAACATATACACAGAGGCATATGATTAGATTAAAAGCAGGGATAACGTCGACTAAACAATTCCGCGACAGATAAATTACTTCGCTTTAAAGCTGGGTTATGCCGACATACAATGTTACATTAAACGCTGGGCGCTTCTAGGCGTCGGACTTGACGCCCAGCGCTTAGTCGTCTAGACGGGCGTCTAAGCGGTTTCTGGGCGTTTTTTTTCTTTCTTCATTTAAGTGGTGGTCGATGAGGTGAGGTTTTGCTGAAGGTCAGAAGAGGTAGTGAAGATGTTCATATTTGGAGATTAATGGAGTTTGGAGGACGTGTAGGCTACGACACATAAAATCACAATCAAAGCCTACAGGATGCAATCCACATAAGCAGACAATACTCCCCTAAACACTCGTAAAATCTAGGTGGGCAGCCTAAATACTGCCTAGGCGCTAAGCGCTAGTTAGGCGGCCTAGGTACCGCCTAGGCCTAGGCGTACGTCTAAACGGACTAGGCGGGGGTTTTTTAAAACAGTGCCGACATAAGTGGGAGGATACGGCACAACAGAAGAACGAACAAGTAGGTATAAAGCACATGTCAGTAGCGGTAGCCTTAGATTGAAAGCAAGCAATTGAGTACACAAAATACAATTTGTTACAGGGAGAAACATTAAAACTCCAAACTAACTTATGGAATTCTCTCCGCAGTCATATACTTTAACAAATCAGTTTTGTTCACCAGAAGGTGGCACTGCACTCATCGGGCCATTCTGCACTGCACGTCTCAGTTCCCCAAGAAAATCCATCTGGTAATAATAATGCACGCATAATATCAATATGTAAGAATTGTTATTATTATTATTATCTATTACTAAGAAAAGCCTTCACTTTGGTCATGTGTCAAACTTCTAAAAACCCACAAGCTTCCCCTCGAGGCATATTATTCTTTCAACTCATTTAAGGGGCAAATTTGGAAATTTAAAAAAAATAACAAATTCTGGGGGAAAAAACCATCACAGCGTTATCAATCATCATGCCCAATTTTCTTCCATTTCACCCCTCGTGCGTACATGGATGAGGGAGAATAAGAAATAGAGGTGGGTTATTTTGTTCTTGAATTTTTCGATAAAGACACTAAAACTGCAATTGATGCTTGGCATTATAATATGTAAAAATTCAATGGATCACATTGTGCTTAATTCTTTATAAGGTAACGCAAATGACTAGGCTTTCTGATCAACGGTTGATTCATTTTTTTATTCTTAGTCTTTGTAGATTATTATGGTCTCTCTCTCTCTAAAACCATATAATAGAGATTATTATGGTTATGATGATGTAGTTGGTAAGGTGCAGATGATTGGATGCATTAACTACAACTCAACTCAATTATGGTCCAATATCTATTTCCCTTTTTTTATGATTCTTTTCTTTTAATTTATTATAGACTTTAGACAAAAATCATTTTCTAATTTAATCTCCTTACATGCCTCACACTACAAATAACAAATGTCATGGTAAAGATGCGAATAAAGAATCTCTCTCATTTCATTTTATTCGAAAAAGAAAAATAAACTAGAAGCTATTCATAGTTTTTATACTGTTAAGTAAATTGGAAAAAAAAACTTTAGGTGATGACATTCTATTGCGATCAAACTATATAAGTTTAGTCAACAAATATGTATTGTATCATGCATGCATCGTGTGCACTAGAGTACTAGTGATATATAATGAAAAGGGATAAGCTACTAGTAGCAGCCTAGTAGGCTAGATTTCAAGTCTGAGACCCATTCTTTCTCTCAAAATATAACAATCTATTATTACTATGATTAAGAAAAGTTAAAAGCTAGTATAAATATCCTCACAATTTACACATAGTTTAAGAATTATGAAAAGGGCAAGCTAGTATAAATCCAAATACTACCTTTTAACTCTATTCATCCATGTTCTCCATACCTATACCTATTAGCCAACACTAACCATCTTTAATAGCCTACTTACTCATCCATCCCGTGTACTTCTCATTATTTTTAACCTCAAGGTTGAATTGTGTATGCACGCGTAGGGTGCAAAAGAAATACTAGTAAAAATAATAATAATAGAAAGGATAATAAAATGAATATGTGGAAAATGGGGAAAGAAAAAGACCTGTGTAACCTGATGAGGAAGTTTCAAGTGTCCCCATGATGAACCACTAGCTCCAGAATACATAAGGGGTCTCTCTGATGCCAGATCAAATCGTTACAGATCAGCAATGCAAAATTCATATTACATATTTGCATAGACTATTCGGAAATGATGAAAAAAAAAACAGCAAAAATATAAGTATTAAAGGTTTCCCTTCCTAAAGAGTTCAAATGTGCACAATCTGATAAGAGGAGAGGTGGTAGTTCTTCTCTTATTCATATTATTATAGAATTAATAGGAAAGCCCTTTACTACTAAGTCATATGCTCAGTTTCACGTGTCCTGTTACTTCTTCAAAAACTTTGTTTCTGGAAAAATGGCAATCAATTTCAACAAGCTTTATCGATGAAATGATGGATTGCTAGTTGTTAAGAAAGCTGCTTCGGTATCATATACTGGCTATATGGACTGTGAAACCCTAGTCTGCAATAAAGCTTCCATGATGAATATCACATGCTATTAGGCAATAACATTGAATTTAAGTACATCCTTTTGCCACAAGCCAAGGTTTCAGTTCATCAAAACTATTTACTGAGCCTTGCTAACACAGGCCTAAGGGCACCCAACTGAAGTTTCTTTCCTGATGCGGGTTGTTTTTTCGGGCTTTTTTTTGGGGTTGGCTGGTTGGGGGGGGGGGGGGTCGTATATAAGTTCCCAGGTGCTTTGACTGATACAGAGCAAGTATTTCCTCATTCCTAGTTTCCTAGCAGCCTTTCTTCTAAGATGGGATAAAACTTCGGGAACAGATTTAAAGACAAATATAGAACAGAAGGATATAATAGAGAACAGAATGATATAATAGAGAAGCAATGCAGTAATGAAGAAAATGAGCAGATTTGGATAGGTAAACGTGGAGGGGTCGCAAATTGACAAGGACCGGAACAAAAATTGCACTTCTACTGTGTATATAGCCCAGAATAGCATGCAGGGAGACTCAGCAGTCCCTTTTATTATGTTATAGAGTGAATAAGAATGTACTATATTTCATTTAACTAATAATTACAAATGTAGTAGATTCCTCTTAACTAATAATTACAAAATTGCCTAATTGACAAGCTAACAAGGAGGTACATAGAAATTCCAGTAATGGTGATCACAGTAAAGAAATTGATTAGCTTATCAGCTATTTTTCTTGACAGCAGCCCTATTAGCTTGACAACATATAAAAGGAGATTTTTGCATTCCCTAACTTGCAATAGAGAATTTCTGTGCTTTGTTTCTCATGTACAGATAACTATATCTGTTACATATAATAATATGCGATTAGCTCCATGTTTAGGTGCAGCATATCTAAGCCATACTGGGGGAGTCTAATTAACATGTTACCCAGTGGATGCATCTCAGAAATGCAGTAGTGCCGCTGGCATAGGAGGACAATCTAACTCCGTGGAAGCAACTATGAATTATAAGAAAGCATACTCATGTGTCATACCTGATAGGTCTACTGATGGATCGTTATGAGAGTTCAAAACAGCAGCCCAACCTACAGAATACATAAATAAAAAAATAACTGCATCTTAATTAAGTATTATGCATAAGACAAAAATAAAGAATATTTAAATGAAATTTGATCATTTACTTATTTGATAATCATGTAACAACTTGCATGAGCCAAAATCTAGTGATCCACTAGCCACAATGTGCCCTATTCGTTTATATGTCCCTAACTTCTTACGATTAGAACTTAATGACAGATCAAAGGTTAAAGAATAAAATAAAAAACAGGTTCTTTTGATTAATCTAAAAGGCATATCTGCTAAGCATCTTCTAATTTTGAACTCTACAAAAAGGTTCAGGTTCAAATAGGAGACCGTCAATTGTTCGTGGTGCCCTATTTTACATGGATGTGGATACTGAGATAGAGCACGTACAGTGGACATATAAAACTTGTGAAAATCAAGATAAGTGTCTATGCTCCATAATGGTACCCGATTATAAATTGGGATATAGTTAGATAAGCTCTCAATTTGTAATTAGACAAATAGATAGATCCAGAAATTGCTACATTTGAAAAGGACAGACTAAAGATACCAATTTTATCAGCAATATGTGCTTGGTAATTCACATTACAAGTACTAATATGCGAGCTTTATGGTACACCAAAAGTGCCAACACAGTTTACCTTTTATTGATGATGATATTCCGATTAGTGATATGCCAATAATGAAAAACAAGATATGAGAAGACCAGATGCAAAAATAAATATCCAAGTAATCCAGCTTGTGCATGACTTAGTTTGAAGGTGACAAAAACATGAATTGGATTTTATCTATGGTTCGTAATTATCATTTCTTATACGATACATTGTCAATACTTAATTTTTTTCATGGTATAGACTATGAAAAAAAACATCTAACAGTGAACATTAAAAGCTATTCCAAAAATATACACTTGGAAAATGTTAATCCCTTAAAAGGTTTTTGTAGCAGTGAATAACTGGTAGATCCTCTACTCCTGCACTGCAGCACGCATTTCTAAACATGCAATATTGCTGCACTGTCAAAAATAGGTGTCTTGAAAGCTGTAATGCATGGCATGGAAACACAAGCAAGCTATGTTGCATGGGTATGGGTAAGGGTCTCGGTAGAGGCGCGGACATGGGTACGGAACAAGACAAATTTTTAAAAGATAGGGTACGGGGACACGACTATATAAATATTTATATACACCTATATTATATAATGGAATTAATAGCTTATATGATAACAAGGATGATAATTAAATTTCCCATAATTTTTATCTTTCTTCTATTATGTGGATTATAAATCGAAAAATCACTAGTTTTTGAACTAGACATCCAAACAACCTTTCAAACATAATTCGGATCCTGAACTATGTCCAACAAGTTTCAAGAAGTGAATGTGAAGTGTAGGATATATGTCTATATCCAAAAAATGTATGACAAGTATTTTAAATTAAAACATGTATTGTATAATTGAGTACATGCCTGAATAAATGTATGCATATATGCAAGGAGTGCCCAAGGAGTTTGGGTACGGGTACGGGTCGTATGGCTTCAAATTAGAAGTACCCAGGTAATATAGCAAGCAAGAGATGTATTAAAGTTATAAAAAACATATTGCATAACACTCTTATATATGCAATAGAACGTGTACGCGCATGTCCATTGAGAATGCTAGCATGCTGCAATTCCATGGCGAGAATGCTAGCATTTAGTGCCATTTACATGAATCTTCAAGCAATAAATAACAAAACTGAAGTCTTACGTTCATTTAACAGTTGCGATGCCTCACTGCTACTGCATCCATTGAGAGGTATCAATCTAGGACGAGCAGTTTCCTTTTGAATATTGTTAATTCCAGCCTCCCCGTGATCAATTGCAGGAAAATTCCTGGAGTATGATCCTTGACCCTTCTCACCTTCAATTCCATGTGGGTAGTTTACTTTCTCAAATTTTTCTGCAGAAGAAAGTTCCAATTATGGTAAAATTTGGACTTTCTGCAAGTATATAATTGTCCACATATGTGAGTATATAGATGAAAGGAATCGACATGTCCAGTTTTGAAGTACAAAAACTTGCTTGCTAACAGAGTAGTGATGATAAGTTGTCAATTAATAAGTAATACAACCCATAAGAGAACGAGAAACAGAATTCATGAAAGAAATAAGAAAAAGAATGCAAATCACTAATATTACGTCTCATTGTTACCATGTAACAATACATGTACCTTTTTACTGAGAAAATAAAACTATGATTTCCCCCCAAAGAATTTGCATAATTTTCGTTACTTATGACCCAACGATGGTAATGATGATAAAGAAAAACGCTTAAGGGTTCCTATTAAGTCAACATTTAGCCTCTAGGCATACAGTTTGAAGCTAGAAAGCTCAATAAAGAGGGATTTTGTAAAAGCATTGTAGATTTTGTTTTGCTTAACCAAATGGTAAAAGTTTATAAGACCACATGCTACATGGCTCTTTCATCTTAGGGGTTAATTAGAGGATACCCTATAGCAAATGCTTCATAGAGAATGGCTGTCTAGAGGCTTAAGACTATGAGAACACTTGGTAGCCAAGTTCACTTAGCGGGACGAACTAACTGTTGAGCAAGACAGTACTGATGATAATTCTTCAAAAAATGAATGAATGAATGAATGAATAAATTACTTGAACAGCGTGGTACCTTAAGCTTTCATCAGACCAAGGAATGATCACTCAAGTTTCCAGTTCGTAAAACTGTAACCAACTCACTGGATTATCAGAAGAAAGGTTACAAATCATCTTCAAAGGCGACAAGTGACAAATCACAACTGGGAAAGAAGTTATTAGCTATGAGGTGGAAAAACATCCGACTTGATACTCTGGAACCCTCTTATATGCATGTAAAATTAGGCAAAAAATTAATAAAAAATGAAATGACCCAATCATGTTTGTAAGGTACTGGGATTGTGTACAGGTTGAAACATCAAATACTAACTTAGACCAAACTTCCATTGGTCTTGTTTGTTAAGTAAAATTGTCGCTGGATTAATGCTAAGGAATGCTGGAAGAAGAAAGAATGTCGGTACTAGTATCATTATTGGCGATGGATCTCATCGGATGCTACTAGTTTTGGTTGGTTGTTTCACCTCAGCCAAATCAAATGATCTACTGTTGAGGGCGCTATTCTGAGAATAAAGGCTTTCTCATTTTGATAACTCAATGGGTGGACGTGTAGCTGACAATCTTGTATTTGATGGTTTAATCTCTCTGTCCCCGCTATAGTGTTGGCACTAGTATTGTTATTGGTGACGGATCTTAATGGTTGTTCCACCTCAACCAAATCAACAGATCTTCTGTTGAGGGTGGTTTTTGCGAGAACAAAGGCTTTCCAAGTTTGATAAATCAATGAATGGAACTTGGCTGACAATGTTATATTTGATGGTAGTCTCTCTGTCCCGCTATAATGTTTCCAGTAGCCAAAGACACCCTACATAGACAAAAATCACAAAACCTGTGAAATGAGCCTTAAGATCTACTGTCAGAAAAGTCCATTTTGTGATCTCATCACTTCACAGGGGCAAGCATTATAAGTTATAACCTACGGCTTTTTAGTGAGTTCCATGAGTCGGATGGAAAAAGGTTTATTGTTTCATCCACATCAACAGAGAGGGCGTTTGGCGACATTACCATTCTATGTATTACCACTAGCATATTCTTACCACAGTAATTCATACCTACTCAAATCTATACAAGTCAAATCCAGATCTTAACTTTTAAGATAACAGTAAGTTAAAAATAGATCACTATCCAATCTGATTTGGTTTGTATCGTCTCTATCCTAAATCTTAGAAGTTTGCCTGCGCTCTATGATAGTTGCCACATTTTTCTATGGAAGAGATATAGCAACTATGGCATGACAAGAGACGGTGAACAATATCCCCTTAACTCTAAAGGCGTCTCTTCCTTTTTTTTCCCCTTCTTTTGGGGATTGGGGTAAGCAAAAATGGATCAAAAACCAAAATTTTAAACTTAGAATATGTTCCGTGAAGGCAGTGCCAGAAACATTTCAGGTTTGGATGAGTTTTGCAACCTCGGTGCAAACACATTTATCCAACTCGAGATACGAAAACTGGTGTGGTCAATCCCACCTAGGTAACCGAACCAACAAATAAAAATGATCGCACGTATGGGAAATAAAAGGTCCTCTCCTTAATAAGACCATTCCATAATCATTTCCAAAATCTCTTAAATCTCTACGAGTCTCAACCAATAACCACAAAAGAATTTTCTCGCAAAGTAAATTTGTTTTAGGGGAGCATATTACCAGTCAAAAAATACTGGTAGCGATCCAGACGAAGGCTAAAAGCTAATGTATCTTATGGTTGTTTCCTAACACTTCAACAGAACATTTGACCATTTTTTTTTGGGCGAAACCCCGAACATACAAATCTTCCTCCTGACAAAACAAATACTTCACAAACTTCAATCTCTCTCATGCATTTTCCAATTACAACCTCCATTATCGCGTATCTCACTAATTCCAACAAATACTCACCACTTCAATTTCCAAACCCTAGCCCGAGAAACCTCTACAACGATCAAATTGAACAATGACAAACACAATAACCCCAAAAAAAGATCCATAAAATGAGTACCTGAGGATTTCCGGCGATTGAGAGAACGATTCCTGGATCGAATCGAATCGAATCAAGAGTCAGCAAACAACTCAACAAGGGCAAATTCGAACTCATAACGGGGCGGTGAGCTTACCGCTGAGAGGGAGGAGCGTATCGCTTGACTGCGGCGGCGGCATCGGGAGGATTGCTGCTCTCGAGCATCTTCGGCGGATGCCGGCGGCGGTGAGCGGACCGCGGGAGACTGGATACTCTCCCCCTCTTTTCGCTTTTTTAAGGACAAAAACTACGAAGCTATCGAAAAGGGAATTCTTTTTTTATTGTGATCCGGTGCTCCGCTCTTATTCCGTCAACTCCGGCTAAATGTTGGAAACGCCCCTGACTTTTAGAAGATTATGAGATTATCCCCAGTAACTTTGAAAATGTCAGAAACCCCCTTTTTTAGCTTCAAGATTTTATAAGAGAACCCCTTATAAGTATCAATCACATATTTCACTAGAAAGAAATAACCCAATACCTAATTTTACCTATTATTATGAAAATTTTACAATTAACACAGGGCTATTTGTTGGGTCCTTTTGTTTTGATGATGATTTACAAACAATTTACATCTAATGTTGTTTGTCTAGTGTTTGTGTTTTGTATTTATTCTAGGCAAACAATAAGTTGGAGGATGGATGGAATCGAACATTCACGATCATATCCAATGGAGGTTGGCGGAATAGTGGAGTGAAGCCATGCAATTCAAGTTGAAGATCCAAGTTCAAGCTTCATCCGCAAGTTTACCAAGTCGAGCTCATTAAAGACCTTCATCAAGTTTGGGTAATTTAGTTTTAGGTTTATACTTGTATGTAGATATTTTAAGCTCATATTAATTACAGACACGTATTTGTTGATTTTATCAAAATATAGGTGTTTTTGATAAAATATTATTTTATTAGTTTATAGACTTTAATATCAGTTTATATCAATTCATTAAATCTATAAAATTATTTTACAAAAGTTTTAATATTGTGTTTATGTCAAATGACAAAAACAAGTATGTTTAGTTTTCATGTTTTTGGACATATTTGAAAAATGATGAGTTTTCACTATTGAGAAGTGCAATTCCAAAAATTCTTTTTGTAACATGTTCATTTACATGTTTACAATGATTTTCCAAAGTTTTTTTTTTATTTTTTTGGAATTTATTTGCTATTTTTAAAGGTACTTCAAAAATCAAAATTTTGTTTTAAAACAGACTGATAACCTGTTATTAGTCGACTGGTCAGTCGACTGATGACATCAGTCGACTGATGAGTCGACTGAAGAAATCGCCTAGAATGTCAAATAGTTTCTATTTTGTTTTGGTCGACTGATAAGGTCCGTCAGTCGACTGATGAGCTGGAAAACGCCTCTAACGGTCAGCTCATCAGTCGACTGACTCATCAGTCGACTGATGGAAGTCGTCAGTCGACTGATGGCATAACGGTTAGTTTTTTCAGCCTTTGTCATGTTTTGGTTTTTTGATCTTTTTGCTGGGGTTTCTTGATCTTTGGGGTTTTCTATAAATACCCCCTTATACCCAACTCTATTTTAATAACCAAGAATATTTTAAACAAGTTTAACAAGGGTTTAAAGTTTGTTATAATTTGTTTAAAAGAGTGTTTAAGAGTTTTGTTTGTGAAGAGAATTTCACAAGAGCAAGTGAAGATCATCTATTGTGTTTGAGCATCCAACTTTTCTCCCTCTTTCTCTTGATCTATAGAGAAGTTTTTCTAAACTCTATTTCTAGCAATTTATATGTTTGAACTTAATTTACATAAGCTAGATTTACATTGAGTTTAGTTTTTGATTTATTTATCTCTTTGTTCACACACAACCTACTGAGCTTATTGTATTTACATTCATAGTATAATTTAGGTTGTGGGTTTGTGACTTAGAGTGTGAGCTTATAATTTACATTCATAGTATAATTTAGGTTGTGGGTTTGTGACTTAGAGTGTGAGCTTATATTGTGTTCTCACCTTGTTTAGAGAACAAATCTTTAGGTTGTGGGTTTGTGACTTAGAGTGTGAGCTTATATTGTGTTCTCACCTTGTTTAGAGAACAAATTATTTGTTGATTTGAGTGCTTAATTGTGAGATTCACTTTGTATTACACTAGTGCACCAAGAGGAGTGTGTCGTGAGAGACGAGGTTGTTCCAAGAGGAGTGGGGTATGTGGTAATGCCTAGAGAGGTTGTAATTCCTAACACTTGAGGGAGACACGGGCTAGAGACCAACACTTGAGGTGGTAGTTAGTGTAGTTACATTGTGAGTGATTGTGAACGTTGATCGGTGAACGTTGAAAACCGACATTGTGAGGTGTAAACGTTTTTCGGGTAAGCGTAGAAAACCCAGTGTGATAGTGAAGATCTCCTCGAGGTGAGGAGCGGAGACGTAGGTCGTGGGGACCGAACTCCATGAACATATCATTTGTTTGTGATTACATTGGCACACTTATTTTTATGTTCATATCTTATATCGTCTTTGTATATTGCTTGTTGTTTATATTACCCACTATCTAGTTTAGCTTATTTACCCTTGTGTCACTTGTATATCCTTGCGCATATATTTGTGATATATCATTCTTGCTAGGATATATTTGTTAAAAAGTTTTAATTTGACATAAATCGGATTAGATTAGCATAAACTCTATTCAACCCCTTCTAGGGTTCTTTCCTAGTGACATTAGGGTACTTTCACTATCTAATAATCGTCCAAAGTTTTTTTTTTTTTTTTTTGGTGGGGGAGGGGGTTCTCATATTTAGCCTATCAACTGCATTTGAATTTTTTTTTTGTATTAGTACATTATCTATAATATTCTGAAATGAGCCCCTTCTATTCTGAAATTGCTTAATTCCTCTGATTCTTATATCTTGTTTGATTGGAGGGTATAATTTGAAACCAATTATAAGAATTGGGGGATATAACAGCAATTTTAATGATTTGGGGGAACTGTTTTGCACAACTTATAAGAACTGGAGAAAAGGGCAATTTCTATGATTTGAGGCCCTAATTTCAATCAAAATATAAAATGTCAGGGTTCCTTTGGTTAGGCCTAGCGGGCTCCCACGGTTTGGTGAAGTATTGAGTCTTCATGTAAGTACCCACATTATACTTAAATTTAGTCATTTAAACAAAATCAATTTTGTTTGTTTCGAGGATATTAACTTTTTCCATTTTTAGACACTTTACAGGTTAGTACGTCAACTATTCCTTTTGACATAAAGAAGTTCTTGCCTTTATTTAGCATTTTTAGAGGAAGATTTTTACGTGGAAAGTGTTGAAAGAATGTAACTTTGCCAATGAAAATCACTGAACGTGAAATTTAAAAAGGGAAGAAGGTATGAGCTACCAGAAATTAGATGATAGATTAATGGTAAGGGGCTGTTTGGTTCGTTTCCTAGATATAGGGAAATGCAATTCCATGTAAAAAAACATAAGTTTCGAGTTTTCCAAACTTTTCTAAGAAATAGATTGTTTCGGTTTGGTTCGCACATAAAAAATGGTGGGAAACCAATGCATTTACTTTTCTTGTGTTTGGTTCGCATGGAAAAAAAAGGAAAACTTTTGTTGGTTTGACATTTCCCACTTTTCTTGTGTTTGGTTGGGTTTTGAAGTTTGTAGGAAAAAATGTTTATGGTCACCATGATAAGATTACCCCCATTATATACAAATTTATTTGTGCTCGTTATATGAGGTAATCTTAATCATATAAAAGTTCAAATTTAACATGAACAAAGCATAGCATCAGAAAATTTGTTGAGTCCATCAACCTGAACAAATGGTCATGCTCATGTGGATTGTTTTGAACAAATAAGAATAGTACCCGCCGATAATGACAAAACTGATGTGGTCACAAACTGAACATAACCAGACATGGTATAGCATCAACAATATATGCATAAAAACTGGCCGAGAACAAAAGCACAACACAACCGGTCTCCACAACACAACCAGGCTCCACAACACAACACAAAAACTGGCCGAGAACAAAAGCACAACACAACCAGGCTCCACAGCGCAACCAGTCTCCACAACACAACCAGTGCAAACACATACATGAACTTTTAATGTATGAATTTTACTAAACAACATGAAGACACAGGCTAACTGTTGTTCTCACACTCAGAGAAGTCTGTATACATACGCATATATATATCACAATATGAAAAAAGAAATTGGACCAATTGGATGCAATTTCTGATAACAACAGGTTTATGAAAATCCTTGAAATATCACAATATAAACTTACATATATTTCCATTTGTATTTAAGTCTCAAGTCATAAAAATCTACAAAAAAGGAAGCAAGAATCACCTGCAAATGGCTCTTCACTTCATTGGTGAGTCCATCAACCTTCATCAGCTCCCTGATCTGCTTCGGCATCCCAACTGCAAATATTCATCAAGCCACACCAAAAACCATCAGATACAATAACAAACAACACTAACATCAAAACCAACAAAAAATATTTGCATCCATTAAAACTCACCGTGAGATACACCGAGCTGTTGCAGGGCATTCAAGAACCTCTGATGATATCAAAAACAACAAACAACACTAACATGTGCCCACAAAAAACTGAGCAGGAAAAAATCCAGAAAAACAGCATATGCACACCAAACTGAACGCAAACAGATAGTAATGGTCACAAAGCATATGCACACCAACAACATCAAGAACCAACAAACAACATCAAGTAATCAGGGCATTCAAGAACCTCTGATGGTATCAAAACCAACAAACAACACTAACATGTGCCCACAACCAAGCTCACAACCAACCAACCAACAAACAACACAACCAGCCAACCAATAACATGTGCCGACCAGGAGTGAAATTGTAATAACATGTGCCTTTTCAGGCTCACAACCAGGCTCACAACCAGCCAACCAACCAGGCAAAAACACCACCAGCCAACCAACATATAGAGGCAATATGTGCCCATAAAAAACTGAGCAGAAAAAATTCAGAAAAACAGCATATGCACACCAAACTGAACGCAAACAGATAGTAATGGTCACAAAGCATATGCACACCAACAACATCAAGAACCAATCAGGAAAACATCAAGTAATCATGAGTTGTTTACTGGTTATGGATGAGGGCTTAGAATTTGGTCAATATCATCATTGTTAGCCATCCAGTACAATATCAGTAGATATTGCAGGTTGCTAATCTCAGATATAATGACAATCATCATAGCCTAAAAGTAAATAGTCACCAATGTAGAATTGTTTCATGAAAACTTACAACCCAAAAAAACAGTGCCTGAAAACAAATCTCACGAACACA